ATTTTCCCTAGGGCGTATGCTCTATCTAGGCATGCATTCTTAGTACCAATAAGAATGTCCATTTCTCAGAGAGGTCCATACATCCAGTGAGAAAGCATTTGGTTACCTCTATAACATTCACATCATCCTTATTGCAGCAGAAGGCATATCTTGCCAAGAGAGTCATTATTGTAGTTTGAAAGGGTTTGTTGCTTCTAGCATCATGAAAGCTATCTTGTAGATATGAAGTACTCATTTGGTTAATAATGTTGCATGATTCAAGTGTGTGGTGTCATCAGTGATTTTATGGGCAAGGACTAGAGGGTAACCAAAAGCAATGGCAATAATGAACTATGTTTGGAGATCTATGGATCTCTACTGGTCAACAAAATAAAAAATTGGAATAGGTGCCTACCTCAGTTTTCAATTATTTCCCTTTTAATTTTTACCTAGATTTCATCATGGTCAGATAAAATGACCTATGTGACACACATACTCTGAAATCCATGAAGATATATCTTATGGACCATAAGAAGGTCAGTTTTGGTAAATTATGCACAGTTTCAAAAAGAAAGCATGTTCCAAACTTATGGGATGATATCATATGAAACACAAAATCAAACTTGTTTTTTACATTTTTGTATGTCTCTAAAAAGAAGATATAAAATTGAATGAAAACAAACACACAACACATTAGAATGATAGAGAGTAGCTAAATATAGATTTTTTTGGTTAAGGCATATTAGTCATGAAAAAGTATGCAAATAAACAACTTAATCTTCTACTGAACAAAAATAATTTAAAGTGAGCAGGAAGAAGAAAATCCCAGTAATAGCAGAAATCAATAAAACTGAGAAAAGGAAACAGAAAAATCAATAAGATAAAAATTATTTTCTAGAAAGGCCTTACTTTTGATAATCCTCTAGCTAAAACTAAAATACACCCTTATTAGTAGAACAGAAGTCTAAATGCAGAAATTATACCAAATGAATCTGAAATTCAATGTGAGTCTTATTAATATCCTAGCTTGCTCTTTCACAGATTTGATAGCTGATCATACATACATAATATGTCAAGCATCAGATCCACAGGCAGCCTAGGGCGTTTTCATTCTTAGTTATGGGAATGAACAAATGAATAAGTCATGGTGTAAATATTATTGTTAGATAATATTTACTAATAAATAAATTTAATAATCAAATTTGCCAATCTCCCAATCTCGCTTCCAAAATCATAATATAAAAACCAACAAATCTGAGTGTGCTTAACAGAGGACGTTTATTATTTTCTGCAGTAGCTCAAAAGTAGAACATATGGAAGCAGTCTTTCAGAAATGAAACTTCCAGACATTTGGGATGGTTATTGCTTACAATTCTTTATAAGTAATGGCAAAATGATCTTCAAACTCATATCAGTGTGTTGTCTTCATGAGATTTATAGAAGCAAATTACAATTCAGTTTTAGTATCTGGAACAATTTCTATATTAAGGCATTCCCAGGAATTGGAAAACTGAGAAGTTGAGGTAACCCAGAAGGCTGTTACCATGTCACCAGTTAAAACTCCCATGCCTCTTCTGTCTCCATCACATGACAGAGAGTGAACAGTGAAAGAGAAATAATTTCATAATAATAATAATAAAAAACAACTCACCAGACACTAATTTACTTAGGTGATTTTTCAAGGCATGTTGGTAAAGTTACTAAGTTTTTGAGGAGCAGAAGTAGATACAGGAGTTAAGGCTCAAGATCATGCATTCATTCAAAATACAATCTCTAGGACATAAGGGCATTGAGTGTCATAAAACACATTTAAACTTGTTATGTAAGTCAACAGAATATGCATTGTTTTCTAATTCTGGAGGACTTCATAAGCACAGTGAAATCAGTTTTCATACAAATGGAGTAAATTATCAGACTCTCAAACTACATGGAGGCAAGTAAACAATTTTATGAATAAACCATAATCAACTATGTATATTAGTAATAATGTCAGTAGTGAAAAATTAATGTCAGTTATTTTACAGATTCCCAAATATAAAACATTTACATGAGCATTTATATGCATTGCAAGCTATAAGACAAATAAGAAGGGAAAAGATAAATGAGCAACTAAAATTAATTTGCATATAATGATGCTACAAAATAGCAATTTACTTTTGCCTGTTAATTCAGTCCTTATTGTTTTAAGGATTCCTTTACTTTTTAAGACAAAAGAAATACAAAGTGCAAAGAAAACTTTCAAGTGAAGAGTTTCCTAATTAAGGGTCAGGGCACTGAAAATCCTTACACATGCTAGTTGCCTTCAATTCTTCTAATTTATATGATAACATGCATCTGCTATGGATAAATGGTAAAAAATACATCAGCTTTTTATAATAAGTTGAAGCTTTAGCCCATTAACATTTATTTCTACTATATCCATTTAGTAAATATGTACTTTTAAAAAAGTATAAATGTGAAGAAAATACAGAAAATGTAGGCTCAAAGTGTGGTTTTTCTATGCTTCTTGCTCTCTGGTTCTAATCTGCTGCTGAGCTGGACCTCATGCAGAGCTTGCTAGAGTGATGAGGAGCCAGGAACCTAGGAGCAAGGAAGCAAAGTAGACATCCACTATCCAAAACTAAATAATGTCAACATCCATTATCCTAAATTAAGCAATGGCTGTGAAACCACCACCACCACCACCACCACCACCACCACCAAACAAACAAGCATATAAAAGTCAAGAAGAAAAAAAAAAACAAAAAAAGTGTTCAGCCAAACCATTTAAGAAATATATGTCATAAATTAGCCCTAAAGTCTCTATGACTGATCTCAAAGGCACTTTCTGAAGAACTGTATTTTCCCCTAACTGGCAGCAGCATTTATTTATGCATATTTGTGATTTAATCCAGTGCTTCCCTTCTTCTGAAGCACAGTCTCACGTTAAGGAAATATCACATTTACAACTAAGCCCCAGGAATGGTGACCTAGTCTGTAATATTACATATAAACTACAAAAGGAAAAGCATTTTAGCTGCTGAAATTTTACTGCCGTCTCTTCCCATCTCCTCCCACTCATCTTTCACTAGAGGCAACACTAGACAAGCCATGTAGGAAAAACTAAATAGCCAAGTGACAATAGTAACCTACTTTAGATGCATTGGGCAGACTGAACATGAACATGAGTTTGGCATGGAGATGTGTGGACAAACATACAAACATGTAACCATTTTCTCCACTCTCTGATCAGTGCTCAAACCTAGTTAAATTTTGTGTTTGGGTGATAGGTGAAGAAAGCAGAAGTGTGAAGTGAAATTAGATCTGGGTTTGAACAGATGTCTTTTGCTCTATTTTGTCAGAGAGGACAAAGTAGGATCATCTCTGTCGTCATCTATTATAGGGATATCTGACGTGTTTTTGTCACTTTGCCTTAAGCGGTAACTCTTGTAAGCCCGCTGGATGATGGTTGCTGAAACTGCCTCTTGTTTGCGTTTCAAAGTGGTTGTAATTGGTTCATACGTGATTTTGAAAGGGTTTGCCAAAATAAACCCAGATTCTATCTCTGAAAGGATTTTCTCCACTCTCTCATCTTTTCCCATCACTCTTTTAGTAAAGGCAAGTAAGATGTCAAGGCAATGAATCCTGTCTCCCGCAGCCATGGGGAGATCCATGGCCACAAGCTGGCCCTTGTTCGGTTTTGCCATGAAAAGAGGAGGATCAAGAGCAGCTGCAAAATCTGAAAGCTTGCTAGAGTCTATGTACTGGGTCCTATCAGGGTCAAACCTGTTCCATACCTGGAAGAATTTCTTAAAGTCATCTTCACTCAAGGACCTGTTTTTTTTCTTAAAAGGGATGCTAAGAAACTCCGTGATCAACACAATGTACATGTTAACAATGATCAGCCATGTTATGAGGATATAACTGACAAAATAAAAAATCCCAACAGAAGGGCTCCCACAATCTCCCCTGACCTGAGTGCCAGGATTAATTTTATCAGGATCACAGTCAGACCATTGACTGATGAAAATTGCATTCAGCATGCCATCCCAACCAGAAAATATTGTAACTTGAAAGAGACAGAGCATACTGCTTCCAAAGGTCTCAAAGTTGGATACATCATTAATTCCAGCTTCTTTCTTAACGTAGGCAAAGTTGTACATTCCAAAGATGGCGTAGATGAACATGACCAGGAAGATGAGAAGACTAATGTTCAGCAATGCAGGAAGGGACAACATCAAAGGAAGCATCAGATAAAAAAAAACTTTCGGTCCTTTCCCAGGACGCAGAATGTGGATGACCCGAGACAGAAGTATCAGTTGCACAAGTGAAGTAGGCACAAAGTATTGTCCTATTGTCATAGGCAGCAACAATCCTTAGTGTAAAAAGAGATAAAAGTATGCAACAAATTTACCCAAATGCAACCATATAGAGAAAACCTAATTTATTTTGCAAGTAATCTAGTTTTCTATGGCTCATGAATCTGCTGTCAGTCCATCATTTAAGCTACATCATATAACATCATATTTAACACTGGGTTAGCTGAATATTAACTGTGACAATGACTAGTCTACGAAGCAAATTCAGAAGACTTTTTTTTTTTTTTTTTTTTGGTTTTTCGAGACAGGGTTTCTCTGTGTAGCTTTGGAGCCTGTCCTGGAACTCGCTCTTGTAGATCAGGCTGGTCTCGAACTCACAGAGATCCGCCTGCCTCTGCCTCTGCCTCCCAAGTGCTGGGATTAAAGGCGTGCACCACCAACGCCCAGCCAGAAGACATTTCTTTAGACTGCCATCATAAGATACTTCTGAAATAACAGATGGCCAGATGTCAGTAGTCAAAAATTTTCTCAACATTGTTGGATTAAAGAATTTTCCTCAGTCTCATATCAAAGTCCTTAAAATATAGCATGTAAATATGGGGAGATGTATAATATAATTTCTCTGAAAGATTTTCTAATCCATTAATTTATGATAGTTACTGAAGTTATGTAGAATGCAAGTTAGGAAGACATTATTGATAATTACAGGTATAAAAATGTATAACATTCAGTGAATCATAGATTGCAATCTAATTTGTTTCTTTTGTAAGTAGTATTTCAAGACAAAGAACTTTAAATGTGAATAGAAGCTGTACGTATTTCCTTATAACTTCCTGTTAGATTTTGATTGAGAAGTGTCATGAGGATTTGCTCACACTTTTGTTAACATACCCACTCCATACATAACATGACATTTTTGGTGGGATTCTGCTATGTCTATATTCCCTCTGAAGTATGTTAATGAGTCTTTCACTCTAGCCAATGTCCCATCTCTCCCCAGTCTCCTGGGCTCTTCCATTATTCAGGAGGCATCCTCATTTTCAGTGCATAAGTTTATCAACATGCTCACTACCAGGAAATGAAAACCCATATCTAAAATCTGTTCTCCTGATGACATTATGTTCCACAAAACACTGTCAAGTGTAGAAAGCATATTCTCCTCCACTCTATATTTCCCATGCAAAGAGAGAGAAATAAGGATTTTTATACTTTCCCAGTGTTACTTCTGAGCATATTTTGTCCAATCATTTTTATTAAGAGGCAAGATAGATTTCTGACTCTTATCATACCCTGGCTGTGTGAACCATGTAGACCTCACCACTTACACTCAGCTGAAGGTTTTATTAAATGATTCATGGCCTCCCTGCTTACCTCAGCCTCTTGCTCAATAAGGATTCTCTTCAGTCTTCCACCATCTCAACTCAATAATATTCATTATTTGACTTTGGTTACCAACATCAGCGCTTGGGTCAGAAGACTGATCCAGAAGTCTGATTCAAGGTTAGATACTTTCTCTATTGCTGATTTCCCCTTCCTGCTCATTCTTTAACTCCTACCTCAGTCACTGTCATTCTGTAATTCATTTGTTTTCTTCATGTTGCCTCCCCAACTTTATGTATTTTTCTATCATTCTTCTTATATTTTTCTCTCAGTAGTTAGTGGCATGGATTCAGTATTCTACTGAAAGAACTGAAAATTCTGGAAGCACTATTTTGCTTTCAGGCTAGTAGTTTATTTATATTTTCTTTATGGATGTCTTGGTTAGTATAATTATTCCTTTAATTTTTTGTTTTTACTTTTTGAGATTATAAGAGAATTACACCAGTTTCCATTCTGTTCCCATCCCTTCATCTAAACCCTCCCATATAGCTTTCAACCCTCTCTTTCAAATCCATGGCCTCTTTTTACACTAATTGTTGCTAAAAACACACACCCACCCCACATGCTTCTGAATAATACATAAATATAACATTCTCAGTCTGTTTAATGTTACCTTATATACATTTATGGGGCTGACTATTTGGTATTGGGTAACCTTTGGTGTGCTCTTCCCTGGGGAAAACTATTTTTCCTACTCTCAGCAGTCATTTGTTTTCTGTAGTTCTTTTTTTATTGTAGGATATAGATCTTCCTGCCTTTTTCACATAGTGTGTCTATCATCCTTGTTCAGCTCATGCTTAGGCAGTCACAGTGGTAAGACTTTATGTGTGTAGATTCTGACAATCCTTGGATACACAGTCTCACAGCAAACTCCTTGATTCTCTGGCTCTTAGAACCTTCCTGCTCTTCTTGTGCAATGATCCCTAAGCCTTAGGTGTAAGAATTCATGTCATTCAATCTAAGCAACAGAGTAGAGGTTACCTTAAATGCCCTCCCCTGATAATGAGATTGATGACTGACTTATATGCTACCTGATATCCCTCATCCAGCATCTGGTGGAAGTAGCAGCAGACACCCACAACTAATCACTGAACTGAACTGGAATCCAGATGCAGAGAAGGATGAGTGAAGAGCAAAGGGGTCCATACCAGGCTGGTGAAACCCACAGAAATAGGTGACCTAAACAAGGAGAACTCTTGTTTAGTTCACAGACTGATTGCTGGGAAACCAGCATGGGACTGATCCAGAACCCCTGAGTGTGGGTGTCAGTGAGGAGACCTTGGAAATCTATGGGGCCCGTGTAGTGGATCAGTACTTATTCCTAGCATAGGAATGGACTTTGGGAACCCATCCCACATGGAGGAATACTCCCTGAGCCAAGACACACAGGGGTGGGCCTAGGCCCTATCCCAAAAGATACGATAGACTCTGATGACACCCTATGGAAGGCTTCACCATCCAGGTGGAGCAGAAAGGATATGTGATAGGTAGAGTTTTAGTTGGGGGTGGTGGTGGTAGGGGAGGACGGGAGGGACAAGGGAACAGGGATCATCATGTAAAACAATCTTGTTTCTAATTCAAATAAAAAATGTAAAAAAAAGAATTCAGGTCATTAACTCTTAAACACTACCTGCTATCATGAAGATCACATTCTGGTTATGCAGAAGCAAACAATAAATGTCTATTCCTGAAATAACGTTTTCTTAAACTCAGTGCCTCTCTATGCCCTTACTCACTATGTCTTTGTTTAAATTTGATTCTTACATAACGTTTCTCTGACCACCAGTTACTGACAATGTACCCTCCACTCTCTTGTATGCTTTACTACTCTCTGCTTCTTACATAACAGCACAATGTGAGAAGAATGTACTGCACCTGTATTCTCTGAGAGTCTGTAAATTATGTATATATAAAAATTATTCCTACCTCTTCAGAGGCCTGTCTGTTTAGCAAGAGGATTAATGAAATGTATTTATCAACAAAGAGAAAGATTACCCACATAAGAGAAAACTGGAAACAAATTCATTAAACTTAAAACTTTGAGACTAGTGGCAAAATCCTTTAAATCCTAAAATTCTAATGCTGTAAAGATTGGGGAAAGTTTTTAAAACTTAAAAGCAAGTTTAGATATCATGCCATTTTAATACACAGAGCTCCCTTCACTGGCAGCCTAGAATGTCACAATTTACAGATTAAAAGCAGGTATCACGCATTTGTGACAGAAACTTTAAGATTTTTAACACATGAAATAAATTGTCTCATCAAGAAAACAATTATTGTACATATATATTGCAAATAGTAATTCATTCTTTTGGGTAAGAAAAATGGTCTCATCATTTTGCTTCTCAAGGGTTACTATCTTGGTAGATATTGTGATAGACAGAATAAATACTATAAAGGGAAATCTAACAAGAACAAACCTTACCTGTAATGGAGAAAATGACCACCATAAAATCATGAACATTCCACACACTGGTGAAATAGTGGCAGTGGAAGGCAGTGAGCTTCAGTATGCATTCTAGAGTGTACAGTGTGACAAAAAGGGAGTCCATCCAGTAGAGAGCCGTTTCCATTTGTGGACTCTGCTCATCATTTCGTATCATAATGGTTGTTGCTTGGAAACAGATAAGAACTATGATGATAATATTAAAGACACGATGTGTTACTAGGTCAAAAGTGAAGCCTTGGAACTTGTTCTGTAGGTGAAGAAAAGTACAATATCTATTAACAAGCTACTTATGTACATATTTACATAGATTCTGAATTCTGCAAGTTCCCTCTAAAGATAATACAAAAAATAACACTTGAATCCTTTGTTAAAGAATGTAATTTACACAGTGTCAAAAGACTATACCCCCCCTCTCTCATTCTTTATTTTTAAACAGGATAATGTAACCCATGCTGGTTTTAGACTTAATATGTTGTGGAGACTGGCCAAGACATCCTGATACTCCTACCTTTAACTCACAAGCACTGGGATTATAGGCAAGCTCCAATACACCTAACCTATTTGTTAATATTTTTTTTAAAAACACATTTTTAACTTTGAAAAAGACAATGAATAAATTTACTTATTTATTTATATTTTTTGAGAAATAATTTTACTTATTCATGGTGCCAGGGATTGAACCTGGCATTAGTTAGGAAAGCACTCTACCCTTAAGCTATATTCCAAGCCTGAATATAATGAATATTTTAAAATTTATTTATTTAATTCAAAATAGTATTTTCTTACTTTGGGACGGGGTAATGGTCTCTGAGAATCTTCATATAAGAGTTTCTTCAGTGCCCGGTACTGTTTTTTCTGTTTTACTGTTATAAAGATATTTGATCCCCCTTGGTAAAAAATAAATAAATGAAAGATATGAAAATCAAGTTGTATTTCCTCCACTTCTTTCCTGTACTGGTGTGCACTTCAGAGACCAGATGTCATTCCTTACACAGTCAACACTTGGCATTTCTGTATGAAGATTCATATGAAAAACATAGGATTTGTGATGTTCAACCATCTGTATTGCACTTTTCTATTTTCAGTTAGAGAGACAAGAAAGGTCCACTGTAAAGAACTGACTTTAATAGCTAGCATTTGTGTCTTTAACAAGAAGGGGTAAATAAAATTAGAATTGGATCAATTTTCAATTTTGTAAGTTCAGTTATTGTCATATTTTACAAATGCAACTGAAAGATTCTTAATAATTGTGAAAGTATATAACTCTCCTTACCAAACAGCTGATTCAGTTTTTGTTTCTCCTGTCAATTTCAGTCTCTCTCTCTCTCTCTCTCTCTCTCTCTCTCTCTCATATATATATATGTATATATATATATATGTATATATATATGTATAATATATGGTTATGTGCATATCAGTACACACACACACACACACACACACACACACACACACACACACACAATATTCTTTTGACAGAGTTTATTATGACTGTAAGTGGAGACAGAATTATCTTGAAATTGAGACCAGTTTGGGCCAAGTGGAACTCAATAATTTATGCATTTCCAGAAAATTTTTATTGTCTGTGCAATATGAAATCTGAAATACATTTAATCACTGTATGTCATCATTTGTGTCCTGTACTTGACTGTAAAATGACTTCACTCTCACTTTAACAAGGCCTTGAAGATTATCATCTACTTACACCAAAAATAGTCTCTATTTCAAAAATAGGACTTTTTTCCTGAACAATGCATTTATTTGTGTATAGACACATTAAGGTCATATATATGATGTTTCATTATACTATTATTTATGAACACATACACCTAAGGACAGAAACTTCTTAACTTTAACTGTTGTCTGAGTATATTTTGAATATTGCACATACAATAAGGTTTGGCATTTGTATAATGTTTATAATATACAAGAGCATTTATTATTGTTCTATTATATTTAATGTCATGTAAAAATGACATTAAAATGACTCAGGAGGCAGAGGCAGGCATATCTCTGTGAGTTCGAGGCCAGCCTGGTCTCTAGAGCGAGTGCCAGGATAGGCTCCAAAGCTACACAAAGAAACCCTGTCTCAAAAACCAAATATAAAAAAAAATGACATTAAACCAATAAAACAGTTCTTGAAGTATTTTTTAAAGTTTTAAATTTTAAGCATGTATAAAGAATATTTATATGCCATCCTATAGCCTTCATCCAGCACCTGGTGGAAGTAGAAGCAGACACCCACAGCTAAACCTTGAACTGAACTGAAATCTAGTTGCAGAGAAGGCGGACTGATGAGCAAAGGGATCCATACCAGGCTGGTGAAACCCACAGAAACAGCTGACTGGAACAAGGGAGAACTCTTGGTTCACAGACTGATTGCTGGGAAACCAGCATGGGACTGACCCAGACCCCATGAATGTGGGTGTCAGTGAGGAGACCTTGGAAATCTATGGGGCCCTTCTAGTGGATCAGTACTTATTCCTAGCATAGGAATGGACTTTGGGAGCCCATCCGACATGGAGGGATACTCCCTGAGCCTAGACACAAGGGGTTGGGCCTAGACCCTATCCCAAAGGATATGACAGACTCTGAAGCCCCCTACGGAAGGCCTCACCCTCCATGGGGAGCATAAAGAGATGGGATAGATAGGGTGTTAGTTGTGGGAGAGGGCAGGGGAGGAGGTGAGGGAGAGGGACCTGGGATTGACATGTAAAATAATCTTCTTTCTAATTAAAATAAAAAATAAAAAAGAATATTTATACTTATCTTAATTTTCTGATTGTTGAAATTACTAACAATAACACCAATCAGCACAGTCAGAGGGAGAAATAATCCAAAGATAACAAAGATGATAAAATAAATGTACATGTGGAGGTTGTGTTCGTATTTAGGCTGCATATTTACCTAAAATTGAATGTGAAAAAATTAGTAAAACATGGATAGTAGCTTTCTAAGGCATGACACTCATAAGACAACTGATGCCAAGAAAACCCAACTCAATGAATTAAGTAAATGCTTTCCCGGCTTCTTGGTGCAAGGGTATCATGGCTTTGTTCATTTGGGTTTTTTAATGTGTTTATTTGGTCTTGCTACTGTGTAAAAAAGATGGTAATTCCTCAAGGTCAGATTGCTGGGTGTCAGGTGTTGCATAAGTTATTGGAAGGATATTAAGTGTCTATGTAATACCAAATCTGAGACACATTTAATCTTTTTAAATATCTCTTGTGGCCTGTGCTGAGGTTACTATCTTGGGTTACTATCTTGATAATGACATTGAGAATGTCAGATACTTACACCAACAGAATCAACTGCTGAAATCATAATACTGAGCCATCCATTAAATGTTGCCTGTTGAAAGTAAGATAAATATATATGAATCTCATAGAAAACTTCATGGTAAATAAATAAGGGATTAGTTTGTAAAATTGGAAAAGATTGTTTTAAAATAAAAACATGATGAAAAGTATTCTAAAATATTGGAAGCTGAGACTTGCCATACTTCCATACACTGTAAACTTAAGATATTTAATGTCCATCATCAGATTATGTGATTTTTACATAATTTATTTAATATTAATAAACTATTATTATGGTTTCAGTAGAACAAGAGAGGCAAATGGAACTAATATTAAAATTTTTAAAACCTGCCAATAAGTATTCAAGTTTTGCTTGTGGTCTTAATTATGTGACTTGTGAATATTGGACCCTTCACCTTTGTTGGATATCAGACTACTAAGTACCCATGCCTCAGCATACTAATTAATATAAAGACAGTAGCAAACCTAGATAAGACTGAAGGGTTGTGACCCTGTTACCAAATGAGCAATGCTGGAAATTTTCAAGTCCTGGCAATTCCTTTCCTTTGTCTGCCCTCATTACCACTTGCTTCTCCCACAAGAAAAGAGACTGTGTTTTATTGGATCTTCAAAAAAAGGCAAGAACATTGTGTATCTCATAATTGTTATCTATCAATTTACTAATTGCTCAGCTGTTTTATAATGAAATCTATTCTTTATCCATATTCTATTCAAAATTCAAGTTTGAATTCTAGCCTGAAAATAAATTTTATTTCAAATAGTTCAGAAGACGGGTGTTGGTGGCACATGCCTTTTATCCCAGCACTTAGGAGGCAGTGGCAGGTGGATTTCTGTGAGTTCGAGACCAGCCTGGTTTACAAGAGAAACCCTGTCTCAAAACCACCTCCCACCAAAAAAAAAGAGTCAAATAGTTCAAAAAATATACTCACTACTTGGAACAAAGAAAGAAAACCATTTCCAACATTATCAAAGTTCAGCTTTGTATTTTCCCATGGCATTGATTCATTAAATATCAGGTTTTCACATTGACTCTTATTCATAACTTCAAATTCAGGGAATCTTTCTCCACTTGTTGGGTCAATGCATTGGTAGAACTTGCCAGCAAATAAGTGTACTCCCATAATACTGAAAAGTAGCCAGGTCATTAGGCAGACCAGAAACACGCTCAAAGCAGGTAATGTTGTTTCCATCAAAGCTATCAGAACCACCTGAAATTTAAGAAAATGAACATTTTAGATAAGGAAGGAAAACCATTTGAATTTCTGATCACATTAAAATACTCATTAATATAGTATCATATTGAATCAAATAAATTGTATATCCAGAGCTTGAATAATTCATATGCTAGTAATGGAATTACCCAAATAGTTATTCAGTTTTAAAAGTCCATATACTTAAAAAATTGGTACATCATTGATAAGCAATGGTGGCAAAGGAAAAGAAAGATCTTAAGCAAATGGGGGAAACTAGCATGTAGGTGATAGAAATGACAAAAGAGGAATAATAAAGTGTGAGTTTTAAGAGGGGTGGGATAGAGATAGGACCTGGGGGAGGGACATTTAACACATAGGATGTTTCTAAAGTCATATGGAAACCTACTATGTTATAAACTATATATTCATACACATATAATATATATTCATATAAAGTTTAATTGCAGATACTGTGCATAAAGGATTATGCTTATTTCAGAAGCCATGGGTTGCTAGGGCAGGTGTGGAATACTTCCTCTTGAGTTGTTGGACCCTGAGGTCCCCAGTCTTGTCATTTCTATTTGTCTTTCCCAAGGATTTAATGATGAGACCCTATTGCTGAAGAAACCATACACATTGGTCACAGTATCAAGAGAAATCAAGTTCGTACTGAAAGCTGCCTCCATACTGGCTTTCATAAATCAGAAGGTGCTATGCAGACTGCTTGGGGAGGAAAGTCTTGAAACATATTCCCCAACTGTGAGTGCTGTGAACAGCAGAAGTCTTGAAACATATTCCCCAACCGTGATTGCTGTGAAGAGCAGTAATGACTGGTGAGACAAGATATGGCCAAAGTGCAATAGCTGTGAATGTTACTGGTATAATTGATTTCTGGTTGGATATAAGTTGTCCTCCTCAGGAGGAAACAGATGCTTAGTGCTGCAAAACTGGCCAAGAACCTGTGGTTGGGCATTGAAAGGTCCGAGATGTAATCTACTACTAGTATCTTCAAAATGGACATAGTATCAAACTATCTTAAAAATCCGTATTTCTCTACCTGTAGATTACTCCAATTCTTAGACATGGTCAGAAAAGTCTCTTCCTGCACTGGATAATAGTTAATGAAGAAACAACAGGTGAAAGTGAAGAGACTGAATACGTGACTGTGGAGTGTTCAGCCACAAATCACTCTTTAAATCATTCTTTCTCCTCAATGTTCAGGAACCACAGCAGAATAAGTGCAGAGGAATTCTAAAGCCACAGGTCAGGAATGACCAGGGTGAAACTGAGTTTTAGGCATGACAGGAACCTTGTACTCATGAACAGATAACAGCTGTGTTTGCCTCCACATATTAAAACTAGTCGGCATTCCAGTGTGTAGTAGAAGGAGGTTTAAGAGGTTCCTGAGCCCTTATTCCTAACTGAAGAGCCATGGACAGTGATGGTGTCTGGTGAGCCAGGGTCAGTTTTCTTTAAGGGGGTGGCTCCTGGTGGGTCAGCTGTACTCCAATGGATTTCTCACACTCAGAAGTATATTGCCAGCACCAATTAGAGTCAGTGATTTACTAAATAAAATACAGGAAGAAGACATGATATTGGTGGGAGATATAAGGAGATAGAGGCAGATCTAGGAGAAGTTAAATGGAATAGTTGTGGATGAATATGATCAAAAATGCATTTATAAAACAATATTAATTGAAATACTAGAATAGTTAACAAACTGACTGAAGTTGCGTTTCCTGATATCCATATCTCTATATACACATATATGCATATATGGTTTATAAATATATTATTTCTGAAACTATTTGATTTGTCAACTGCCAACTTTTAGCTTGTCTTTACTATTTTGTAAGTTGTCATGTCTTATGAACAATTACTAGAATCTGTAAAAGTATCACTAACACAGCTTATCTATTTGTACGCACTGAGACATAAGCTGTTTGTTTCAAAAGAACCATTAAAAGCAACAATAAAGCCTGTTAATTCATGGAAATGTAGCAGCCCCACATGAGCCCTCACAGCTGAGTTTTAACCCTTCTGTCATACCTTCATTCTCTCAAACTGAGAGAGAACCCTAAGTGCTCGGAGGAATTTGATGGAAGTGAGTGGGTTCAGGTCTTCTCGAGTTTTGCCTATTAAGCTAAGACAAAACACCTGCACATATGTGAAAAAAAGAGTTAATGTGATAATAAACTTTGTGCTTATAATAAGAAGACACATATTGAAACTTACTAGTCAATCTTTTTAAATACAATTTCATGTCTTAATAATGAACATCATTTTTGGTAAAATCTTTTTTACAAAAAGATAAAACAGCAATCATTTCCAGAAATTAATACATTACTTATGTAAATATTTAGAAATTTGAAATTATATATGATCAAGATTAATATTTACATTGTTTTTTAGTTTGAAATAAGATCATTTTCAATACAGTGTTGAAAATATATTCATTAAAACAAGACATAGAATATACTCACATATTCACCTCTGGATTACTATGATTAAAGCAACATATTAAATAATTCAGAAAACAGATATAAAGAAAGATATTAATTTAATTAAACAGGAGCATAGATTGTAAAATTATAGTTGTGAAGTTCCATGATTTGTAAAGTAAATTTGTATTCATAAAATCATCAGGAATTAATATATGCTACTTAGAATTAAATAAGTCAATATAGATATGATTAAACTTTTATCATATCTATATGATTCTTATGTTTTCAAATCAACATAGAAAAATACCACCTAATCTTTGTTCTTAATCCTGTACTGTAAAGATGGTGTTGAAGTAGCCTTGGAAGCTTGGGGTTCTCTACATAATCATACAGGGATGTAGACACAAAGATCATTGAGAAGAGATGGAATGTCCTTTTGTGCTGTTTTATGGAGTAGAAGCCTAATGATAAGAACTGACTTGGATGGCACAGGTGACCTATTGCAATTCATTAATTATAAGCAGAAAAGCCTCCATAGTTGTTCATAATATAGACATCTGTTTGTAGACAATATCTATAGACATTGGGTAAACATTATTAGCTACATGGTATGCCTAGAAGGGATAGGGGATAAAGGAAGGAAGAATAACATCCCTGAAAATTCTGCTCTGATAACACCTCTTTTGTAAAATCCCACATGGAGGGCTGAGGACCAAGGCAATAGGATGGGAATCACATTGGCTAATTTGAAGTGTTTCAAAAGCCAGTGCTGGCAGGTCACCCACTGAAAGGGCAGGGTGAAGAATAGGGGTGGATGAGAAGATAGAATATAGGGGGTGGATGGGATAGTGTAGAAGGTGATCTCGTCACATTGTGTAGGGTGTTGGAGAACATTTTGCTCTGTGGAGGACAGACTGTTCTTTATTGGATTCCACAAAGAGAAGTACATTAGTCAACATCCACCTTATAGTTTTCACTTTGATTTCTGTGCAGAAAAACGACAGAAGCTACATTTCAGCCAAAGCAGGAATGTCAGCATAGAATCTACTCCATGGTTGACATGAGATACCCTGAAACCTTGAAGGATGGTGAGGATGACAAAAAAGTCAAAGTATGGATATATTATTTAAAAATCAGTTCAGTAGAATTTCAAGGCTTTTAGTGATATTTTCAAGATATTGTTCAATAAAACCATTCTCTTATCAATAATTTCAAAGGTGAATTATTAAAATGATCTAGAATTATAATTTTGAATATTTCAAGTTGTACAGTGACAGGATGTGAATAGACATTAAATGTTAACAGATGTGGAAATATAGAAAATTGTTGAGACTGTATGGAGAAAGAAGGAGACAGGGTGACAGTGAAAAAAGAAATCGTGCTTAAACGTGTTCTTTTAAATACATACGATGATGACCATGAAGTCCAGCTTGTACCAGCCATTAGAAAAATAGGCTTTAAAGCCATAAGCCACCCACTTGAGAAGCATCTCCAAAATGAAGATGTAAGCAAAGATCATGTCTGCATATTCCAGTAAGATTTTAATGGTTTTTCGCTGATCAATGTATATATCTTCAAGAGCCTATAATTAAAAATTTAAACGTTAATATACAAAAATTCTAGAAACTGTTTATATGGAATTAAATTCAATTATAAATTCATTGAGTCATAAAACTGAAGACATTTAATAATGAAAAATGCATGAATTTCACAAATCTCTATCTGTAGGTAATAGCAGGTTGTGAAAATATACTTTGAAAAATGGAACTAAAGTATCTAGAAAAATGAGCTGTATCAGGGCAATTTTACACATCATTTATTTGGGGGGAGGAGGGGCTCAAGATAGGATTTCTCTGTGTAGTCCTGGCTGTCCTGGAACTCACTCTGTAGACCAGGCTGACCTGAACTCAGAATTCTGCATGGAGCTGCCTCCTGAATGCTAGAATTAAAGGCATGTACTACCACCACCCAGCTTACACATTGATTTTTGTACCTGGTACCCCAACAGGGAAAATGTCTCCAATTCAAGTACTAATGAAGACTGATCCTGTTTAGCTTCTGAGATCACTTGAGACAGGCATGCCCAGCTTGGTAAAGTCAAACCCAAAAATCTACCTGTGCTCCATCAGCAAGGACATAACAGATGGAGTCAAATAAATAAATAAAATAATCATGCCCATCATACCACATACACCTACTTTTTAAGTACATATTGAATAGTGAAGTTGATTCTACAACTGTCCCCAAAACTCATATATAAAGACATGTAGATATAAAAGACAACCATTTTCCACTCAAGGTAGAATTCTGGGGCATTTTTTGACTTCAGAGTATCCTTGGAATATCCAGCAAATCTGGTCTCACTTGAAGACCGTGATAAAGTTTTCAGTAAGTATTTTGAAAAATAATTTTAAAAGATCTACTTTCACCTGCTTCCCTAGCTCCCAGAAGAACAAACAGAGTCAAACATATTTATATTGAGTGGCTAGAGGACTACTGATGCTGCTATGGAAGGGAACAGTCTTCATTCTGATAGCATGGATCATGTGTCAGATATTGTAAAATGTACTTGGAGGAATGGAGAGAATAGGATTGGGAATCTGTTCTGAGGGGCATGTTTATTGAATTTTCACAGTTTCTATAATAATCACTGCAAACTGGCATCTGAGAAGCAGTAAATTTTGTGTTCTTGCAATGCTTGAAATGTAACACAAAATTAGTTTCATTGTGTGAAAATCAGTGTCTGAAGGGTGATTTCCCTTTTTCTTTGGTCTTGTGACATCTTCCTTCATCATGAAGGCATGCCATTCCAATCTCTACCTCTATCTTCATTTTAACAGCACTCCTGTTCTCTTATAAGAATAGTATGTTTTCATAAGGACCACTGTGACTACTTCTGATTCATGTGGAGAATCTAAGTTCATCTGCTTTGCTCACGATCCTGGATTTAGTCTTATCTTCAGCCATCTAAATGAGGATAGACATATTTTGTGTCTTACAATATGGACACAATTAGAAGCCCATTATTCAGATGGCAATAGGCAATCAGAGCACTAGCCTGGGTAAAAGGATAGACACACTGCTGTGGAGTCAATTTCAGTGACATAGAAATGCACCAACTTAACTCATTACATTATGATGTCCTGTGAACTGGGACTCTTAAATAAACAAGGAATGGAAAGATCACTAGATGCTAAGGGGTGGGCATGGGGATGCACTTACTACTACTAAGAGAGAAGGCAATGTTCGCTGGACCACTTCAGACCCAAAGGCAAAGTTCCAGGCTTGAGAATACTGGTCCAACATACTTATTGCTTTTTGTTGTTGCTGTTGTTAGTTTGTTTTTGGCTTTTTGAGACAGAGTTTCTCTGTGGCTTTGGAGGCTGTCCTGGAACTAGCTCTTGTAGACCAGTCTGGTCTCATACTCACAGAAATCATCCTGCCTCTGCCTCCCGAGAGCTGGGATTAAAGGTGTGCGCCACCACCACCTGGCTATACTTTTTGTTGTTGTTTGTTTGTTTTTTTCTGGTCCAACTTATTTATGAGATCACTCATAAGTAAGATGACTTATTTCTTTTCAGTTAGACCTGGCAAAAGTGAAGTCCTCTGAAACTGTTTAGCTACATTCCTTGTAGCCTGTCCATTTGAGTCATATGAAGATATGCTTCAAGGGGAACCCGTGATGGAGAAAGAACACAAAAGGTGCATGTGGACATCCTACTTGGGAGTGTCTGAGCTTTCCAGTTCCTTGCTATAAGATAAGTGGTTTTGCAGGTATTTGTCCATGGACTGGATAGAGCATTAAGAGTCATAGTATGGGTTTACCAAAATTCAGACTAAGATGTCCCCTGATCAATTTTGGAATGCTGTACCAATCAATTGTTTGTTTTTTTTTTAAATAACAGGTAAGTAGAAATTACTGATTCATATCATCATGGCAAAGTGATATGCTACACACAACAAAAAGAATGGTGATAAAATAAATATGTACATGCTGTTTGAATTGATTTCAATGAAGATCAAAAATGTATAAAGTAAACAGGAAATCCACAAATGGATGGCTACCCATGGAGAAAGTTTCTGTGCAGAGTGAGAACACAGTTCTAGATTTAGGCTATTCTGTTATCAATCAACTCACAGACACCTGGACTTGTTAATTTGTTTCTTCCCAGATACCAGTTCCCAGTGGCCTTTACAGTAACTTCAGGAGAGCACAATATGCCAATTTGGGGTGTTTAAAATTTTTATTAATGTATAAAACATTAAAATCAATGTATCTATTCTCACTTCCTTTTCCCATTACAGTGTGTAATTTTGAGATTATTGTTTACTTAATTTTTGAACTTAAATTTAACATCAATGCTAAGTATTTGTATATATTATAAAGTTTACCATAGATACACTAATGAGGAAAAATTCACATGTCATAAAACAGTATTGATATTAAGCTTAATATTGATTCATCTATACACAATGTTTCTAATAACGTTTGAAACAGTTTCTAATGCTAAAAAATGCAGAACATGAATTCTGGAGCTATATTAAATATTCTGGGCAAAATCATCTGGCACTGTGACAATCTTGAATTGAAAGTTCTTATAGAGTATTTTCACATGACATTTACTGTGGCTGTGTGCTCACCAGTGTGCCGGTGCTCAGTAGGGTAACTATGCCAATGAAACACTTGAACCAGCTGTTTTCTACTATCTTGCAGCAAGTTTTCCTCATGTTCTTCCAAATATTTCCGTTCCGAGATTCTCTACTGACTTGAGCAGGTGAAGATTTTCTTTCATAACCTGCCAAGAAGGAAACTGTTAGAGATAAACTTCTAGAAAACTCACAGTGGATAAACATCTCAAACTTTATATGGTTTATCAATGACTTATTTACTGAATCTGATATAGGTGGCCCCATGTTTTTCACACATTTGACTGCTTACCACTGCTCAGTGGTTTATAATCAGTGAGGATCAGAGAAGAAATGAACTTGTGGGTTTGGAAGAGGAAGAAATAACCCAGAATGTAGATATAATAAAACGTCCTTTTATCCAATGGAGAAGAGAATTAATACAAATAGCACCAGTTTCCACATCGTACCCCAAATGTGCACACATTTGATAGCTTGTAAACCACATTTTGAATACTCAGTGTAATGACTCAAGACAGTGATTCTTAGGCAGCATGGAAATGGAAAACTTGAGTGAGACAATCTGCAGAGGTAGTCAGGAATGCCGAGTACTTCATGTGTTGAGTAAATGTAGCTGCAGGAATCCCCTCTTCTTGTCAGAGAGAGTTAACACAGGCAAATCTGTGGCTTCACAAGGGGATGATCATTGGAAATGTGTGAATATATGTTTGTGAGTGGAATGTAAAGTTAAAAAAATATTTTAGCTTTTATTTAGTGTCAGATTATGTTTTTGTCTTTCTAAAGATGGGTTATACTTACAACTTTGTCTTAGATGATTAATGTCCTTGAATTTAAGTTGCTGAAATATTCATGTGTATGTTTGGGGAAGGGCATTTGCCCATGTGGACATGTAGTTGATGCTGATATGTTTCCCTTAATTGCTTCTGAGTCTGTGTTTTGAGACAGGGTCTCTCATTGGACCTAGAACTTGCCACTTCAACTAGATTGACTGTTTCCCTGTTTTCATTGTTGCCTGCTTCCCCAACACTAGAATTATGGACATGGGCTTCTAGGCTTGACTTTTTTTTCTCTTCATTTTTTTAATTAAACTAGAAACAAGATTATTTTACATGCCAATCCCAGTTACCTCTGCCTCCCCTCCTCCCCTACCCCCCACCCCTTAACTAACACCCTACCTATCCCATACCCCTTCTGCTTCCCAGGGAGGGTGAGGCCTTCCATAGGCTTGACTTTTATGTTGATGCTTGGGATACAAATTCTGATCGTCATGTAATGTATAGCATGCATTTTATGCTGAGTCATCTGTCCAGCCAAATTACATTCTTAATTTAAAGCTATTAACTGAGAATTTTTGGCAATTTTGACTTTGATGACTTTTCATTGATGTCAAATGTCAAAATCTGTAGCAACTTATTAATCTTGCTAGGAAACACATTTGAATTATAAATCACTGAGGAGTATATGTTATATATTTCATGTGCTGAAGAGCTCACTGAAATTGTGCAATGTAGATCTACCAATCTCTACGTAAAATATCTAAACATATCATTTGCTTTTATTTTTCTATGAAATTTATAGATGCTTTGTCTAAAATTATTTTACTTTGATTTAAAATATATGTGATATATATAAAAATATTTTATGTAATCTATATATTTTAGTTTTGATTGAGCTATACTTGCTGTTTTTCATGTGCTAGTATAATACACTGTTTCCTAACTACAATATGTAATTAAATATGAACATTAGATATATTCTTAACATTATATATAGCATGAATACTGCACTTGAGTAAACAGTATCAATATTATTCTGCTAACAAACAAGTGCTCACAGTTCCTTTCTCTATCAACTATCAGTCATTATATCTATAGGCAGAATTAGTGAGCTAGGTTAATGATGATGTTTTGACACAATTAAGTTTTGCTAATGTTTGGAAAAGATTATCTTCTAGACACAAATGCATACACTAATCTTTTTAACCTTCCTAATAGGTTTATCATTATTTAGATTAGGAGACAGAGAGGAGAAGAGAAAACAGACAGTAGATAGAGAGGCGATATCAAACTGTTGATGCCAGAGACAGCTTTGTAACTGCCATATTAGATTGTCCAAAGATGACTTTTTTCTTCATATTTATTGATGTCTTATGTTATAGGTGGATGAATGAGTACACATTTCAATATGCATGCAATCTTTATCAATTAAGGTTAAATGTAAAAATATTGTGTCATTATTTAGATTTAGATGCACATAATTAATTTTGAATAAAATTACCAAAGAAACTTCTACTTGCCATTTTTGTGAAGCTTTGGCTTTTCATGTTCGTAGACCATTTCTTCTTCTTCAGAGATAGCAATGTCAACTGTGCTGCATTCAGATGAACTAGATTGCTTCACTTTCTAGAAAAAAAATATAGCCCCAACAAAAAGTTACAGCCAAAGCCTAACTTGATTATTGCAGTTTTATTTCATTTTCAGAAATAAGTATGACATACAGAAAGAATATTATCAAAGTTGAAAGACTTCCAGATTTGGGGGGCTGATAATGAAGTTCACTGTGTAAATAAAAATTGGCTTTTTAAATTGGTTTCTCATACTTAAGTGAAAATAACATTAGATACAATAAAAGTTTAGTTAAAAAGCACTTTAATTGTAGTTTAAAGACAATTATATTTTGAATTTTAAGGTTTTCACAGTGGCCACATAGGTAAGTTTTAATTAGACAGACAATACCACAATAAGTCATGCTGATATTAAGTAGTCAAGAAGGTTTTTCCATCTAACTGTTAAATTCATTCCAAATATTCTTGTGGTCATCAACTTTGGATGTGAGGTTATCATGTGAAACAAGAAAACTACACAATAAACAGTACCCAGGACAGAATGGGGCAAATGGACGAGTAATGTAGAAAGATCCTGAGGAAAGAGAGGGTCCTTACTTCCCCCTCTACCTTGACTGAAGCACAAGGCTGCTGGGTCAAGGTGTTTTTTGCTTTATACATGAGGCAAATGCTTCAGTTTACCTTATTTTAATATGGGCACAAACATATTATCCTTTAAACTTGCCAGGATCCTACAAGTGAGTAGCACCAAATAATATGTCTTAATTAAGATAAATAGAACAAAAGTAAATAAAAATAAATGCAGTGATTTAGGATTATTTAGGTAGTTTTTTGGAAAAGCCTCTTAACAATGATTGGCCATTCCTGTTGATCCTGTGCACAGTAAATATAATGGAAAACTTCCTTTGCTTTAGTCTTTACATGGTCAGTTGTCATCTCAGCAAAGTGTGACACTTGAGCA